ACCTCACAACTTATACTTTGATGATCAACTATTGAGAAAAAATTGTGCGACACAAATGAGCTTCTTGCAACACTAAGGTCTTGCAGCAAAAAGTAGGAACTTGAACAGTTGCTATCAAAGACTTATTTTGAGAAATGTTATTAAGTTCATAAACCTTTCGTAATAAGTACCATGAAATATGGCTATCATGTCAAACTGAAAAATGATCTGGGCAACGGGAGTGTGGAAACCCAAAGCCAGGTTGGCTGTAAATTGTTTTGACTGGTTGGAAGATTTGATTTGAAGATGGTTGAGCCGGATAGGAAGATGAGGTTAATAGGAGCCTGTGGATCACAGAAAGAAAGTAGTAACAACGTGTCCACCAAGAACTCCTATCCCACATGATTGGTGGTAATCTCTTTTTGACTCTGTGTAAATTTGCCACAAGGAACAATCCTAAGAGCAAGTGCAAGTTAGTATAATACATATCACTTGCTATTTAATTACTAAACTTGATTGAATTTGGTCAGAGTATTTACAGCGAGTTCACCTTAGAGTTCAAGTGACCACACCCAGGTTCTTTCTTGTGGAAGAAAATGGGTTGTGAAAATTTGTGGATCTTTGGCTGAGTCATTTTCATCAACCACCAGAGTCAACTCTCTAGAACATTCCACCCATAGATAATATCCCCCCAGAATCTGGGAAGGTCGAGCAGTGAGAAAAGCCAAAATTTACTTGTTCATACGAGGAATTGGTTATTCTTTTATCTTTAAGCAAGGACTATTTAAAGATCAGTCAGTTAGGACTTCCGTTTCTCAAAGCATGCGTTTCAGGTTCGATTCTGGTCGATATTACAAAAGCTAAGATATTCTTGAGTTATATCTCCTTTGCTGGAGGAATGACAGCACCTCCGTTTGCTCCACATTTTTGTGGAAGAGAAGAATTGGTTGGAGGCTTTTGTGTCGCTGGATAAAAGTTTGTGGATCTCACATTCCTGAAACAATACCGTTTATCGAGTATTCGTGCTTCAGCGATTCATGGCGTGGATGGCTATGCCGACGACGGTGCTCAACAATCATCCTCCGTCACTGCTCCCTTCTTCCTCAGCTCCTTTGCTAGAAGCTCTCAAGAGAACCGGCGAGGAGCGTGTCGCTGCGTTTCACTTCCCAGGCCACGGCCGCGGCTCCTCAGCGCCCTCTTCGATTTCCAAGCTTCTCGGAGCTCAACCCTTCCAGTTTGATCTCCCGGAGCTGCCAGGCCTGGATAACTTGCACTCGCCACAAGAAGCTATAGCGGAAGCGCAGCAAATGGCCGCCGAGCTTTTCGGAGCAGGGTACTCGTGGTTCTTGGTGAACGGCTCTACGTGTGGAATTCAAGCGGCGGTGATGAGCTGCTGCAAGCCCGGAGACGTTTTGATCCTCCCCAGGAACGCCCACGTCTCGGCATTCTCAGCCATGGTTCTTGCTGGAGCAATGCCTCACTATGTTCTTCCTTGTTATGACGAGCTCTGGGAGATTTCTCACGGCGTCTCCGCCGAGAGCATCGAGTTGGCCATCTTGGATCTGCAGAAAAGAAAAGACGTGAGAATTGGAGCTGTTCTGATTGTCTCGCCAACTTACTTTGGAGTGTGTAGCCCAGTGGAGGAGATCGCAAAGGTGTGTCACGAGCATGGTATCCCGATCATAGTTGACGAGGCTCATGGAGCGCACTTCAAGTTCCACTCGAGGTTTCCTGCAACGGCACTCGAGCAGGGAGCCGACGTTGTTGTCCAATCCACGCATAAGGTACTCTCGTCTCTTACGCAGTCCGGGATGCTCCATCTTGCGAGAGGCTGCGAGATTGTAAAGCACGAGAGAATTAGCAAGTGCCTTCGAACCTTGCAAAGCTCCAGTCCGAGTTACCTTCTCTTGGCCTCTCTCGATGCCGCAAGGGACCAGATGAGTTGTGCAGCAAGCGATGACCATCCATTGTTTGATACAGCTCTGGAGCTGGCTTCCACAGCTCGACGACGCCTGAAACAAATCCCACAAGTTTTAGTCCTTGATAGAGAAAATGTGAGCTTGGCAGCCAAAGCTGATACCATTTTTGATGAGCTTAGGATCACCATTGGTTTGTGGGAGCTCGGAGTCACAGGAACTTTTGCCGATGACTTTCTGTGCGATAAATGCAAGGTGGTGGCCGAGCTTCCTCTTCTGAACTCCATAACTTTTGCTATGGGAACCGGCACTAGCAGCAGCGACATTGAGAAACTTATCAAAGGCTTTCAAGAGCTTTCGAGTTCTTTCAGATTGACGATAGATTCTTATTCCAGACCCCGAGTGCCTGATTGTTACAAAATCGGATGGAAAGCACTAGTTAGTCCAAGAGAGGCATTCTTTGCAGAAACTTACTGCTGCAAAGCTGAAGAAGCAGTGGGTCTAGCGAGTGCTGAGCTCGTGTGCCCGTATCCACCTGGTATTTCTGTGCTCTTTCCTCGAGTGGAGAGCTCGTCTCGCAGGAGGCTCTTGGCTATTTGAAGCAAGCCCATGCTTCAGGAATTACCATCAGTGGAGCATCAGATCCAACTCTGTCCACACTTCATGTCTTGAAGTGACAGCACAAAGATCCAGCTGCAAAGAAAACAACAAGAGTTAGATAACTGCAAAGGCATAGAAACTTCATTACGTACCAATCACTTCAAGGTTGTCATAGTTTTCATTATTTGAGCCTGAGTATATGTTTGCCATGAGAGCATAAGCTGTACCACCTTGATCGTCAACCTTTGGCAGAGCATCAAAGGCTACCTCTCCAATCACTGCATTTTTCCACTTGAAACAAGCCCCAAGCAAAGCCATCCATATCCTGGAGCACACCTCTTCCACGGGCAGGCTTTGCACCATCGCAAGCGCATCCTCCAGCCGATTAGCACGTCCAAGTAGATCAACCATGGAGATTACGTGCTCCACACTCGGACTAAGTCCATAGTCCGAGCACATCGCGTGAAAGTATTCCATCCCCTTGTCGACCAAACCAGCGTGGCAGCAGACCGATAGAACTGAAGAGAATGTCACAGCGTCCGGCTTGGCGAACTCTTGCATTCTCTCGAACAGATCAAACACCGCGTCACTGTCCCCTTGACGGCTGTATCCCGCGATCAGTGCACTCCAAGACACTGCGTCCTTGTCTGGAAACCCATCAAACACTCGCCGAGATTCCACCATGTCACCACACTTGCCGTAGAAACTTATGAGCGAGTTTGCCACCGCCGGAGAGCTCTCGGCCCCAGTTTCTTCGATCAGACGATGGATTGCCTGTCCAGCCTGTAGTGCTCCAAGACCACCACAGGCCTTAAGTACCGATGCAAAAGTCTGCGAGTCCGGTTTCAGTCCTTGGAGTCCCATTTTCGAAAACTCCTGCAGGGCCAGCTCATGATGTTCCACGAAACCAAGTCTTTGATCACCATTTTGTCAAAAACCCGAGCCGCATCATCCAAACTTCCACACCAAGCGTAGAGACTGATCAAGTTGTTTGCAGCGTAAACATCTTCCAGCCCGTCGAGAAACCGGAAATGAAAAGCCAATCCCTTCTCCAACGACGCCACTTTCAAGGGCCTTCCATCCACAAGCCGAGCCTCTTCCTTCTCGGCCATATCCAAGCATGCCTGGAGAACCGCCACCAAAGTTCTGGAGCTGACGACCACGTCTAACGCTTGCATGGCCGTGAATAGCTCGACAGCTCGCTGGGCCTCGCCACCTTTTGCATATCCCATGATCAAAACATTCCAGGAGACCGAATCCCGCTCTAACATCCCATCGAAAACTCGCTGGCAATCCAGCAATCTCCCCCACTTTGCATACATATCCATCAGACTGTTGGAGACGAAAACGCTGGACGAAATCCCTGTCCCTGTTCTTGCAAACTTGGAGTAAATCTCTCCGCCCCTGTCCAGCCATCCCAGATTCGTGCAAGCGTCGAGCACGGCCACCAGAGTCCGAGCATTCGCCTCCACTCCATCTTCCAAAAGCATAAGCTCAAAGAGCTCCAAGGCTAGCTCGTCTTCCCCTCCTTGCGAGCAAGCGCTGATCATGGCACTCCACAAAACCACGTCCTTTGTTCCCAACTTGGCAGCCTGGAAAATCTCTAGAGCTTCTCTCACGGTGCCACACTTTCCATAGAAATCCACCAGGGCGCTCGCCACGAACCTGTCCACCAAGAATCCACCACTCTGGAGCTGGGAATGAAGAGCCAATCCTCTCTTGAGGCTCCTGAGTTTGATGATCCTCCCCTGTAAATATGTCACCCCCTTTTCTGTAGCGGCCATCGAAGAACACGCGTGGAGAGCCGCGCAGAAGCTCCGGCCGTTTGGATCCAACCCCTCGGCATGCAGCCGCCCAAAGAACAGAAGCGAGAGATCCGGCTGGCCGCTCCGTGGGTAGCCGTCGATGACGCAGTTCCACGACGCCGCGGTGCGCCGATCCATGGAATCGAAAATGCGGCGTGCGTCATCCATCATGCCCCGTTTTGCAAATCCATCAATGATTGCGTTGATCAAGCCGATGTTCTTACCGGAGAGGAGATCGCGCTTGCGGCCGTCGCCGTCCAGCTGGATTGGAGCCATTTCTCGTAGCGCGACATTGATTTGCCCAATCATCTGATTTTAGGGTTCTTGAGGTTTAGAGACGAAGAACAAATCCTGACCGTTAAAAACAATCGTAGTAAAATCTGGGCAGATGTGGTGGCGCTCTGGCGGCTATCTGCCGGTGGAGGAGCGGCGCTGTGGAAAATTTTCATTCAGAGAACTTATATAACTCATGACCATTTTTGGGTTCGTTTTCTTTCTTTTACAGGAAAATAAAAATAGTAAGAACAATAGGAGGATAATGAAAAAAACTGTGCTTGCTCTATGCAAACTCACTGGATGCCGAGAGAGCGTTCTTGTGAGATTTGATCAGGCCTCCCAAAACCTGGCCGTGTTTTCGATACGGTCCTGGATCTGCCAATCTACGATCCTTGCCTGGGTACATTTACAGACGAGCAGAGCGACGGGAATGAGCTACCAGTTGTTCTCCTCACTTCTTCATTCGCGAGAAAATCTCGAACAAAACTCTCCTGTCGATTTTCCTTCCTTGGCCGAGTGGTTTAATCCACCACTGAGCGAACTCCCCACACCCAGAGCGCCACTATCGTCCTTGGATCCCACCACGCGGTGGTCGTCAAGTATTTTGGGAAGAGGAGCGGCGCCCGGATCCATCTAGATCCCGTCCTCTTACCTCTAAAATCGGGGAAGCGCTTCTGCCAAGGACGAAACGCTGGCCTCGAGCAGCGAGAATGCGGGTCGATCCGGGATTTAACAGAGTGCCATGGATGCCATATGGTTCAAATAGATGGTATGATATATTGTTATTGGAACCCGGTTGCTGAGATAATGGCTACCAGGTAAGTGTAGAGGTAAACCGGTATAGAAGACCCGGGTTCGATGCCGGAAGGGTCCAATCAACAGGGACTTTTATGCAAAAATCTTGCTCTTTAAGTAGCCCTTTGTTCTGGTTCGTAGCTCACTAAAAGAACTAGACCAGTCAGTTAGGACATCGGTTTCCCAGAGCATGCGTTTCGGGTTCGATTCTTGCCAATGTTATCTGCAAGGCAAAGAATATTCGCATGTTAACATCAAACCAAAAATGTTTATAATTCTTAAACTCAAATTAAGATTGAAAGAAAACATCATTTAATATTATTAATTGTAAAATAATTAGAAATGAAAGTTAAAAGAGAGCTTTCACTTTATTCCCATCATTTTACCGCTCTCTATTCTATTTGGATTGTTCTTGGCTGTGGCTTGGGGATCTTTGGAATTGTGACAGTGAGGACACCGTGTTCTACTGTAGCTTTGATTGCCTCCACATTCGCACTCTCGGGCAGCCGGAATTTCCGCAAGAAGCTGCCATGGCTGCGCTCCACGCGGTGCCACTTAT